GAAATGATTTATAGATTTAATGCTACACCAATCAAAACCCCAGCAAGATTTTTATACATACAAACAGGCTGATTCTAAAACTTGTACAGAAAGACAAAGGAAGTAGAAGAGCTAAAACAAATGTGAAAAAGAATAAAGATTTCATACTACTCAATTTTCAGCCTCACTTGATAGCTACAATGTGCACTAGCACAAGACCGTGTGATACTGGCAAAGGGACAGAACACAGAGATCAGTGGAACAGAATGAAGCATCTAGAAATAAACTCATGGTCAACTGATTTTTAATGAAGTTGCAAAGAGTGGGTACTGGCCCTTTCTGGCATTCTGTGGTCAGGGCAGAGGTGGGCACAGGGGCCCTGCAATGAAGGGATGCTAACTCTCCCCTTGGCTCCAGGTTAGAGAGCTGTAGACCCTTCCCACTGCCCCTAGCCTTTTCAGCAGCAGGCAACACAGTGATGAAAAGTGTCCTTGTTAGAGGAAACAGGAGGAAGGCACTGGCATGTTTGAGGGATGAGGAGGTCAGTGTGGCTGGAGTATGGGGAGCAGGGGAAGAAGAGGTGAGGCCAGAAGTCACAGGGGACCTGGTCGGCCCCTGGAAGGACTTGGACTTTCCTCTGAGGTGTGCCGTGAGAGGGTTTTGAGCCAAGAAGTGACATAATCGGACTTAACCTTTTAATAGACTCATTCTCACTCCCGGGTTGAGAAATGACTGAAGGTGAGGGAAAGGATGAAGCCAGGAGACCAGGCAGGAGGCTGCTCAGAGAAGCCAGGTGACAGACCATGGTGGCCTGGACCAAAGTGGAAGCAGTGGAGAGAGGAAAAGTGGTCAGTTCTGGACATAATTTGAAGGTACAGGTTGTGGAGTATGTGTGAGTGTGTGTATGTGTGTGTGTTAGGGGTTGTGAGGAGAATTTCTTACTGTTGCAGTAAAAAACCAAAGTTCGAGAAGCACTGCTCATGGAGCGATTATATTTTCCCTCCATTTTATTCACTTGAAGGTTGACTCAGAGGTCTCATAACTGCTTCGAGTCCCTGGATGCCCAAAACTCAGGAGTCTGTGCCTATAATGGGGGAGGCGAGCAGATGGTCACTGTCATGGCTTCGTGGGAATGTCCGACATTTTCCCCTGAGGTCTGCAGAAGAAGAACCACCCATCTCAGGTGACCCACTGGATGGCTGGACATCATGAGCTCAGCAGACTTTGGTAGGCTGGACCCCTTCAATGGGGTTGCAAATCACAAATGGATAGATTTCCTCTTCTTCACTTTATACATTAAAAAATATAAGGTGTGGAGAACCATGGTGATGCGCCCAGTATCCCAGATTGAGTTGGTGGTGGAGTTTCAGTTTCTGGCAGCTGCTCCCACCATGCATGGGAGCTGCTCTGAGCTGAGAGCCACCTTCCAGTTCTTGCTGTCCTTACTGATCTGATCTTTCTAGACAGCCCAGAGGCCTTCCCTTGTGAACAAGGCCTGCTGTGTGGTGGCCAGGGTGGTGGTGCATTCTATTTTGCAGGTAGCCCCTTGACTGTCTGCCTGCAAGCTCTGGACCTCCACTGATCCAGGCAGGGAAGTCCAACCAACAGCAGAGGCAGCAGGGCACAATGACAGGCCAAAGCGAGGTGACAAACAGTGTGAGGTGTCCATCAACAGTGTGCTGGGCCCAGGCTATTGCTCTGAAACACCACTGAGGGTCAACACCTACTGTGATTTTTCTTTTTAAGCTACAGAGTTGTTATGGGCTGAATTACATCCCCCCACCAAGTTCATATGCTAAAGCCCTAACCCCCCAGGAGATAAGAATGTGACTGTATTTGGAGACAGGGTCTTTACAGAGGTGATTAAGATAAAATGAGGTCATTAGGGTGGACTTTAATCCAATATGACTGACTTTTTAAAGAAAAGTTAAGTTTGGACATAGATGACACAGAGGGAGGACCACATGAGGACACAGGGAGAAGACCACCATCACCAAACCAAGGAGAAAGGCCTGGAACAGATCCTTCCCTCAGAAGGAACAGCTTGATCTCAGACTTCCCATCTCTGGAACAGTGAGACCGTGCATTTCTGTGGTTTAAGCCCCCTGGTATGGGGTACTTGGTTACAGCAGCCCAAGCAAACTAATACACGCATCATCCTGTTTTCTTAAGTTGCAGGTCAAAGCACGGTAAGTGTGGTCCGTCCTACTCCAGGCCTCATGTTTCCAGTTAAGGGGCAGCCACAGAGGCAGCAGCAGCCATGGAGTGGGGACAGGAGAGGTGTCAAGCAGAACACTTCTCTAAGCCTCTGCTCTCAGCATCCCTCCCCTCTCTTCCCCACAGCCTCAAAGGGCTGGTCAGGGGCAGTCCACCAGCGGCTGCTGGAGACCTTTTCAGGCCCTCCGCACTGCCTAGAGGAGATGCCACAGCTAGAAGTTGCTCCTCTGAAAGCAGCTGCAAGCAGGGGACCAGGGAGGGGCTGGCCCTGAGGAACAGCCTTCTTCCTGGGTCTCTGAAGCCAGGTTCATGTGGGGCGGGCCCAGGTACCTCCCACAATCCTCATCAGGGAGCCAGAAGAAGCTCTAGCCTGTGGGTGCACCTGCTTGGCGTCTCCAGTAGAGGAACTAGGTGCTGTTTTTAGCACACACACCCTTTCCTCTTTCTGTCTGTCTTTTTTTTTTTTTCTAAATAAGAGAAGGCAGTTCCTTGGGTACCAGGAGCGAAAAAGAGGGAGGGGACCAAGAAATGAAAGACTCGGGGAGTGTTACACATAACAGTGGGCGTATTTTATGGAAAGCAGCCGACAATCAGTGTTTGCAGACGCCTTTTATTTTATATTATTTCCTCATCTGTTCAGCTTTCTTGGGCGGGAGCCAGAAAGTTAATATTCTCAGTCAAAGTCGGCCTTTTATCTGTCAGGTTCAAAATGAAACCAAGTCACTAGGGTTTTAAAGCATCTCAGCCAAAAGGCAAACACACCTTCTCAGCAGCTCTGGCCCAGGGGCTGTCGCTGGGGCTGCCACATCTGCGAGCAGCTCCCGCTGAGACCCTCTTACTGGGCTTTTGATGATAGGTTGCTGTGGTTCCTTAACCGCGACATGGGTCACCCCTGGGAGCCTGGCCTGGCTGTGCCTGTTGGCATCATCAGTACGGGAGCAGACAGTGCCTGGGTCACCTCACCAGATCACCCTGGAGCCAAGGGCAGTCTGGCCACTTTGGAGGTAGGTGGGAGGAAGGGTTGGGAGGGAGTGGTTAACCACTGCCCGCATTCTGCTTGAAGTCCTAAAAGGAGCCTCAAGGAGTAGTGGTCCGAACAGAGTGATGGTGGTTTTAAAACAGGCCTCTAAATTCTTTGACAGTCCCCCGATAATAAGGTGGAGCTCGCCCCCTCCCCTTGAATCTGGGCTAGCTTTCAGGACTCACATCTAACAAAGAGTAGCCAAGAGTAATGCTGTGTGATGTCCAAGGCTAGACGGTAGAAGGCCATACACCTTCCACCTGTCTCTCACAGAACAGCCACCTTAAGAGTCCTGAACAGCCATGTAAGAAATCCCTGTGTCCCCAGAGTAGCCATGCTGGAGGAACCAGGTGGAGAGCCCAGGAGCCCAGCTGTGCCAGCCCCCAGCTGTTGGAGTCTTCCCAAGCACCAGACGTGTGACGTCTCCACCTCCAGCCATTTGACTGCAGCGGCTTGAGAGACTGCCTTGCTGAGCCCAGTTACCCCAGAACCACGAGATGTAATGATAAAATGGCTGCTGCTGTGTTACCCCATTAAGTTTGTGGTGGTTTGTTACGCAGCAATTTTATGCAGCAGTACATTGACCCTCTCCCTTCTGATTTTGTCACCTCCAAAGTAAAACTGTGGAAGGTAGGTCCCTTTATGCTGTACACATCCTCCCGATAGGACAGCTGGAAGGAATGGACTGCTGACCTCAGGTCAAAAGGCCTGAATTCCAGGTCTGACTCTTCCTGACATGACACCTTGGTCCACTTTCTCAACCCTTCTGGGCCTCAGTTTTCATATCTATAAAATGGGGATGATAGATAAGACTGGCTTCACAGAGATGTTAGAAGGGTCAAATGAGAGGGCAGATGTAACTCTTAGATTTCCCAATGCCCTGAGATATAAGATCTAGAAATAACACATGTCTCCACATTCCAAGTATATGGCCAGAAGATCTACGCAACCTGTATCAAGTGTAACATACATGCAACTCTAAGAGGAAAGGGACCCTTTGTGAAATATAAGAACTATTCAGAAGCTCCTTCTGATTCTTACGCTCTATCATAGGTTATGTGGGGACAACCAGTGAAGCCATTCAGCCATGCAGGTTAACTTCATTCTGGGAAGTCCATGGCTTTGTGGCCTTTCCATTACACTCCAATCAAAGTGGGGGTTTCTACTGTCAATTTGGGGCCTCCCTTGTGTTTGGAGGTTACTTAAAATGCAATAGGGTGTCCCAGGGGCTAGAATTCCAGAAGCTCCCCCCCATATCAATTACTACCCAATACCCAACTCAGCTGGACTCAATAGCATATTTGAGGATCAAGTGAAATTAAAAATGGGCTCTGGGGGAGGGGATGAGGGGCGACAATTTTACCTCATGCTACACTGCCCCGCACTTAATCTGGACCCAGAATTTTCCTTGCCCTTCTAAGTGTTCTGCCTTCCGCACCAACCCTTTGGCGAACTTCTGGGGGCCTCTCCCCTCCTTACAATATGGCTGCTGCTAATAAAGGCGTAAATGCTGCAAAGCACTTATTACAGTAATATTATCTTTATATTACCCCAGCATTACCAGACCGTGCGCAGGGGCCGGGGAGGCGGGAGAACCTCTTCGGTGCTGTCAGTAATCGGAGGAAGGCAGTTTAGTTTAATGATAATGACTTACACTTACATAGCTGCCCTCATCCCAGAGGACCCTGGAGCACTTTACAAACACACTCTCACTCTGAGCCTTTCTAACAAACCTGAGACGCAGCAATGCTTATAAATAATATATACTCTGAGTGCCTCTATATACTGCAAATGTATGATATAAATATGTATAAGTGTAACAAACATGATTTTTGCATGTTACATTTATAATCTTTAAAAAAAATGGTGACCCATCATGGATGTGCAGCCACAAAACAGACTCACAGGGTGCAAAATTCAATAAATATCGATACTGCACAACCATTTACAACAGGTACCAGCCCGGGGCTTTTAAAAGCTAAGGAAATCATTCAGGGTCTACGTTCATTGGGTTCCTCTTTCACTGGGAAGGTCATTCTCAGGTCAAGTTTATTCGACCAGTTACAGCTCGGGGTGTGGCAAACACATAGATATGGACAGTCCTAGAGGCTCACCAGGGCTGATTCTGAAGCCCTGACACCAATGCTGTGTGATTATGAACAAAGCACGAACCTTCTCTGGGCCTCAGCTGAATCCTTAACATAACCAGATATAAGGCTGTATGATAGATCATGGTGTTGCTCCCAATCCTTCAGACCCTTGCAATTTGAAAATTATACATGTATGCCCTTTGCCATGTGAATTTGCAGTACTTCACACTGGAGTAGGCGGAGTTTACTTTCCCACCCCATGGATTTCGGGTTTGGCCTGATTTCTGATTACTATTACCATGTAGCAAACTGCCCCCAAAGTTACTAATGTAAAGCAACAACCATTTTATTACCTTCATGGATTCAGTGGGTCAGGAATTTGGTTAGGGCACAGTGGGGATGGCTTTTCTCTGCTCCTTGATGCCTAGAACCTCAGCTGGAAAGACTAGAGAGCTTGGGAATGACTCAATGGCCGGAGGCTGGGCTCACAGGAAGTGTTGTGCTCTCATGTGCCTAGAGCCTGGGCTGCCTCACAACGTGCTGGCCTCAGCATAGTCAGATTTCTGGCGTGGCAGCTCAGGGCTCCAGTGCAAGTGATCCAGTGACAAGGTGGAAGCTGCATCGCTTTTTATGACCCAGTCTTGAAAATCCAGTGTCCTCTATCAAAGAGTCACAAGCCCATCCGGACTCAAGGTGATGGGAATTAGACTCTGCCTCTTGATGGGAGGAATGTCAAGGTCACAGCTGTAGGGGAGAGTGTGGGATGGGATATATTGTTTGGCCATTTATATGAATTTTCCACACACTTAGTGCCTCGCCGTTAAGTACAGTTCCACCATTCCTGTGGGTCAGGGGCTTGAACACAGCTTGGCTCGGTCCTCCACTGAATCTCGTCAGGCTGCAGTCTAGGTGTCTGGGGCTTGGGATCCTCTTCCAAGCTCACATGGTTGTTGGCAGAATTCAGTCTCCTTATCTGTGAAGGGACTGTGCTAAGCATGATAAGAATCAATGGTAAAAACATTGATTGGGATGCTTGGGATGCCAAAAAGAGCTACATAAATGGTTCTTACTATTCTCCAGCTAGACAATAATAAAATAATAAAATTCCTGAGGTCTGGGACACTGTGTTATATTCGTTTTGAATGTACCATTAAACTTAGAACAGAACTAAGTGCGTGGCTGCGTGTCAAGGATTGCTGGCTGGCTGGATGCACTGAGGGATGGATAAAGGGATGAAGACTTGAGGACTCATTCGCTAGTACGGATTCTCCAACCTGAGCGTGTTGAAGGACTTGTTAAAACACAGATTGCTGGGTCTCACACCCAGAATTTCTGATTCACTGAGTCTAGGGTGGGGCCTGGGGATGTGCATTTCTGACAAGTTCTCAGTGATGCCGATGCTGCTGTCTGGGGACCGTGTTGTGAGAACCACTGATATAGGGAAGTGAGAAAGATAAATTGTGATGGTCTTATCTTAGTTCTAGTCTCTGTGGTCCCCTGGCAAGGTAGCCCCACAAAGTTCCCTTCCAACTGAGAACTTATATTTAATTATGTTTAAATCCTTAAAAAGAAGTCTGGCCTGAGTGGACCCTTGGGTGAGGAGGCCAGAAGACTAAATACAAGTCAGTTGCTCTTCCCCTAAGTTTTCATCCATCTAGAACCTTGACTTCCAGTTCTGCTTTGCATTCAACTCCCTTCCATCCCACCCTCCAGCCCTCCTGAGCCCCACGTGCTCAGGAAGCCATCTGTCTGGGCACGTGTGTGTCAGACACTCTGGGCAAAGCCACTGAGTGTTCTAATCTATGCACCGCATCCCCTAAGCTGGAAGTCTCTAGAAAAGTGACAAGAGAACAGCCAATAGGTGGGCCGAGACTCAGGGAACTAATTGAAGAACGACTCCTCTGCGGGGCGTTAATACCTTGCAAAGAAGTGAATCTACTGGCATTTTTTTAAGAGTTTAATAAAAATATATATGCACCGTGAGAAAATCACAGCAATAATTCCTTGCACCTTTGTTCCAAGAAGCCCAAAGCACTCCCCATATATTATCATATTCATTATCCTATTTTCTTCACGTTTCTCATTAGTTTTTTTTCTGAGATGATATATTAATATGAAATTCTAAATCACATTAAGGAGACCAAGAGCCCAACTCGTTCTCCTCACCCTAACTCCACCTTTCTCTTCTCCTCTTTCCATCCATCATCTTCGCTGCCCCCCTCCTTCTCCCACCCAGGGGAGGGGAAGTCAGAAGCTGGTAAGCAGCTGGTGGTAAGCGGTTAGAAGACTGGAGGAGGGCGGGCATCAAAGTGCTGCTTTGCCAGTGGGCTGCTCCCTCCCCAAGACCACTTGATCAGACCAGGACTCTGATGCTCCGCAGGGAAGGGAAGCTGCCTTGCAGCCCGACTCCCCTTAATGGGTGGAAAACCTACTCCTCCCGCCTCGCGTGCAAGAGGGAAAGAATCAGGCTCATTACAGATATTATCATGCAGCACTTCATATTTCAAAGAGCTTTATAATCGCTAATTAGTTATTGCCAGAGAATATGGAAATGGTACCTTGCTGGAATCTCGCAGCCTGGAGGCCAGACTTCCTCAGCACGGCTGGCCCAGCCTGGCCTGGCCTGGCCTGCCAGGGATTCAGGAAGTGTGGCCGATTCCAGGGCAGAAGGCACGTGGCTTTTAGTCCTGGTCGGTGTGGTTCTGAGTGGATGCTCCTGGGGTCATCAGACTGCATTCTGTCTGCTTAGGAAGAACCCAGAGATGGGCTACTGCTTTGGGTGGTCAAAGAAAACATGCAGCTGAAAATGAAAACAGCAGTCCCAGCCAGAAGAGTCAATGAAGCATGTGCCCTTCCCACTGTGCTGAGTTCGATTCCCCATCTGATGACTGGACGGGGCTTGGGCTTCACACTCAGGCTTTGTCTGTATGCACAGCAACGGTGAGCTCATTCCAGAGCCTCCTGAAGATCTCAAGGGCACACAGGTGTTCTGATAAGGTTCAGAAGCTCCCTGTTCCTATTCTTTTTAGCTAAGGAATTGCAACCACAGGGCTTGAATGGACGTTAGGGTGTCTCCCCCTCCTACCCTGGCCGGTACCTACTCCATCCTGACTAACTCTTCTTTCAAAAACAATTCTTGAAGAAGGTGAAGATCTACTGTCTGCTGCCCCCTCCAGAGAAAGGAGGGATGAGGAGCAGCCTCATTCACCCTGGATAACCTCGATCTCATTTGAATTTCATTATAAATCCACTCAGAAGCTGGAGTCAGCAGGGGCCTCAAGGAGGCGGGCCCTGGTCTGGCTGACTCAGCCTTCTTGGAGGGACGCTGTCTCTCTTGGATGAGAAGGGAGGACGCAGGGAGCACTTTTCTTTAAGGCTCCATCTTCATCTTTCCTGTAAATGGGGATGAGGAGGCACTATCTGAAAGAAAACTCTGAGTAGGGGCAGCAAAAGCTTTCCTTCTGGCAAAGCTTGCCCACACAGGTCAGATCGGGATGGGACAAAGGCTCAGGAAGCACTCTGGTTTACAGAAAATTTTGCCAGGGCCCCAGCCGTGGGAAAGTCCAGAGGTGTTCCAGCTCCCAAGGAGTAATCAGAAATCCAAAACCCAGATGCCCCCAGCTTTCCTCTCTTCCTGGCAATGGGACATGCAGAGGCCACTCAGTAGCCTTAACATTTTACTTCCCTAATAACTCCAGTGTTTGTGCCAAAGCACAGCGAGGATGAAGGGATGGAGAAGCATATCTGCGGAATAAGGCCTCAGTCTCTCTATTCGGGAAGCAGGTGTCTACAATACCCAAGACTTTGCATCTGAGAGAGACGTTTTGCCACTTGCTGGCGGGTTCTCTATCAGAAGCTGTCTGTTCTTAGCACATAACTGTGCTGTGAAAGAGACTGATGTGGCCCCGGACCTAACTTCTCAGCACTCCAGCAGGGGAGAAGGCACCTCGTCCTTGCCTGCATTGCAGATGGCAGCCTTCATAATGAGAATGTAGCGAGCGAGTAGGGGCAGGGGTCTGGGGTGGGGCGGTGGACCACACAGACAGGTTTCCGAGGGCCTTTGGGAACAAGCACTTCTGCAATCTGGGTCCTCCTAGGATAAGACAATGGGCCCCTCCTGTCTTTCCTTCCTCCCCTAGTTTCATGCTGAGGCAGCTGGCTAGGAGGTCCCTGCCGAAGTCTTCCTGTAGAGCTTAAACTGCCACTGCATGTCCTCTTAACACTCGCTCCCCACCCCTGAGGTCTCAGAAGTCAAAGGCAGGAGTCTGCTCTGGTTAGGGGTGGAGAAGTCCCATCTTCTTCAGGATTTCTAGGCCAAAATGGCCTCCCTCTCCCTCCTGCTACCCAGAACTGTCATGAGGTTCCCCAATCCAGCCTTCCTCTTCAGTCTGGCTCCATTCAGATACTCCAAGCAAACAAAATACCCTGCCAGGACAAAAGCAACCCAGAGCCTTGCTTCTCAGCTCTGCAGGCAGTTGGAAGATGGGCCCCTGGGAAGCTGGGGTAGGCACAGCCCTTAGCTCCCCAGTTCTCTGGCTCCAGCTTTCAGCCACCTGTATCACCATGAGAACAGAACACCGAAGGAGCCTACAGGAAAACTCCTTTCCTGATCTGCTAAAATCCACTCTGCTCCCTGTTACAGATCTCACTGAGCGTGCAGGCACACACCCACACATGCACGCTCACTCACACACATGTTCTGGTTGTGTCCTTGGCCCTGAGATACCTCTAGCTTTAGATTTCAATTCTATTACAACAGGGTAACCGTCAGGACTGGGAGTGGCAGTGGAGGGGTTGCTCCCTGTCTGGGCGGAGGGAATGTTCCCATTCAGTTGGGTGTCCCAACTAAGGACAGGTAGCAGGTAGAAGGTGAACTTTTGGAAAATCAGAAGGAAGGACGGAGAAGGAATAGGAAAGGTGTGTGTGTGGGAGTGGGGAGCCTGGAGGAGGGCTGTGGGAGACAGTGCCCCTGATGAAGTTGACAAACTGAGTGGGAGGGGCTTGGAGGCTGACCTCAGAGCTCTTCTCTGACCCCAGACAGGGGACACGATGTGAAGAAAGTAGTTTTGGAAGTCAGGTGACTTCCTGCCCAACCTTTGGCCAGGAGGTCACTTAACCTCTCTAATCTCAGTTTTCCTATCTCTAAAGCAGAGATAATGACACTTGTCTTTAAGAGGTGCTGGGAGGAGGAGCAATGATGTCTATAAAGAGCCTGAAACAGAGGATCACCTCAACAAATGGCTGCTATTCACATGGCACCTAAACGAGACGGGATATTGGAAGGTGTCAGTTCTGGGCCCCATTCATAGGGGACAACGCAGGACACACAATGATGTGCTTCCTTCCTTTATGGTAAAGCCGTGCCCCTTGTGACTCATTCTAGTTGTCCAGTACTGAGCGAAGGGGTGAAGAGTGGCAGTGGTTGTAGGTTACACTGTCACCTGCAGGAATGGAGGCTGGGGAAGAGGCAGCGTATATGGTTAATGTAGTGTGTGGGCGGCTCCCAGGACAAGCTGCAAGGAGAGAAGAAATGCACAATTTTTTCCTGCCCCTGGGGAAACAGTTTTCTGATGGCTTGAGCTTTGGCCAGAACCATCAGCAAAATCAGAGACACAGGAAGCCACAGGTATGCAGCCTATCGACATAGGGAAAGGATAAAGAGGAACTCCCAGCTTTGTAGCCACCTGCCCTAGACAAATGGGACTTGCTTCTCTGGCTGCTGTCTTGAGAAAGTGTTTCCAGATCATTCTCTCATCCATTCTCTGAGCTTCTGGGGCATCTTGATCAGCCTAACACTGAGCACAGGGAGGCTGTCAGTGTAATGGTTAAGGACCCAGATTCTGGAGGCAGACCTCCTATGTTTGAATTCTGGCTCTACAACTTACCAGCTGTGTGACAATTTCAACGTGCCTCCCTTTCGTTTCCTTATCTGTAAAATGGGAAGACTTAGCACAATGCCAGATACAGGGTAAGCACTCTTGCAACATTGGCTTTAATGATTACAGTCCTTGGCCCGTTGCCCAGCATTGGGAACACCTCTCAGGAGGAGGACGGGTGAACTACGGTTTTGATGCTGATACAAAGGGCGGGGAGAGCGGGCTGTTGCGCAGAGCACCTGGCATCACCATTTACTTTTAGCTTCTTGCGGCCACATGGATCCTCAGCGCGCTTCTCGCCTAGCCATTCTCCTGGGGGCTGCCTGGCAGCAGGCTGCTCCTCTAGTCACGATATGCTGATCCCCTCCAGCCGCGCTTTCACTTGGCTCCCCGTGGGCGCCCTCTCCCGAGCTAGACTGCCACGCTGAGGCGGATCCAGGTACCGCCTGGATCCGGGGCTGCCAGCGCGGCTCGAATCCCCCGCGGGCCCAGCAAGCCAAGCACAGGCCGGCGACTCAAGGCTGCCCTGGGCCCCTCTACCCGCCCCTCCCTCTCAGCCGGCCCGCGGGGAGGGCGGGAGCGCCCGGAGCTGAGATGCTGCCTTCTCCCGCACTGCAGAGCGCGCCTCGCGACCTTGTCTGGATAATCCGCCCTGGGCTGAGACGGACAGACTTTGGCTCATCTAGGGGCAGGGCCTGCGGAGGCGATGGCCGCCCTCTGGGAGGCAGGGGTGGCGGAGGGTGGGGGGTGAGGGGGTGTAGGCGCGGTAAGGAAGGGACTAGGAAGATTATGGAGAGGAAGGGGAAGGGAGGTGTTCGGGGTGGAAATGGGGGGAAGGGAAGGAAAAGGAGGGGGAGAAAGGGATAACACCGGGTGGGAAGGAAGGGGAATAATGATAAGTGAGAGGAAAGGGGGAGGGGAGGGTGAAGGGGAGGCAGGAAAGGAAAGGAAAGGAAAGGGAGTGACGGCAAAGAAGAGTGGGGGAGGGGAGGGAGGAAGAGAAAGGAAGGCAAGGAGGGGGTGAAGAGGAATGGGGGAGGGAGTCCACAGAGCTAAGGGAAGGGAGAGGAAGGGGAAATGGTGGGGGAAGGGGTCCAAGAGGGGAAGGAAGGGAAGAGAGGGAGTAGGAGGCAGGATGGAATGGAGGAAGAAGATGGGAAACCTTGGTCTCCACTTCCTGTCACCTAGGACCCCAGCACCCCCAACACTCCCTTACAAACATTTCCATGAGGGATTTTGTGAAAAGGAGCCATACAAGAGGGAGAATAGGGAAAGAGGGCTCTCGAGAAAAGCTCAGTGTGTAAGAATTCTGAAGTAGTACGTTCCGACCTTGGACATCAGAGGGTCTGGATGCAAAACAAAGGTCCTGATCCACTGCCAGGCCAGACAGGCCCAGCGGAAAGTCAGTGACTCCAAGTTCAAATCCCTCTTCTGTCTGGGAGGTTCACAGTCACATGGCCTTGGAAGCAGGTGGCAACTTGCCCTGAGCACTAGTTATTACGTTTATAAAATGGGGATGATTTAAATGCCTGCTTTACAGAGATGTTAGAATTAAATTAGGCTAGACAAACAAACAAAGAAATGGAAAGGCCTTGATCTCGGTGGTCGTGATCCAGCATTTCATTTAGTGCCTGCAGGAGACATGTTGGTGCCCTACCTGGGCTGGCGCACCCATGCCCCAGCTGCCGTGTGTTGGTTGACCCCTTCTCAGAAGGGAGCCCCCTTCCCCAAAAATGCTTGGGAGATTACCATCTCTGTCCCCTGGGGCTACTGGCAGCTACTGCTTCTCAAAACAGGAGCTAGGAGTGGATTCAGACCCTCACCTTCCCTCAAGTTGGGCAACGCCAGAGCTCCCCAGGGAATCAGGCTGAGTCGAGACTTATCAGAACCCACATCTGTCCAGCTTGCCCCTGCCCCATCCTGC